TATCTGGCTCTCAGGAATGCCCAAGGTTGTACCAACATGGGAACCTGAGAACATCTTCGACGTGAACAAGAGAGATTCAAAGACAGAAGGGGGGGTGAAATGGGAGTGAGGTAAAACTAAGTTTTGGCGCACACGGGACTCAGTTCCAGCTATGTTTCTAGAGCTGTTCACTACTTTCCAATAAATGAACTTTCCTTTGAACCTGCATTGGCTTCAATGAGAGTTGCTTTCATTGGGAACTGAGTACTGTGGTTCTTACAACCAAGAATGTTCATCAAATCCATGCTCCCCACTTTTGCTTGGCAACATATGGTTTGTTCTGCTCTCAATGAAAGCTGTTTGGCTCAAAAGGTAACCATTTTGCTTCTACAGTATTTTATTCTAGACTGACCATTTAGTTCAGACCGGATAACTGGATTCGCCTGGATCTTGGGAACTTATAAGACTACCTGACTCAGAGCCACACATAATATAGGTATGATACGTACACATTTGCTATTTACGAAGAAGAGAAGCAACTTCACCCAAGCTGGTTAATTTAATTGGTTAATTAATTTAACCAATTAGACAACTATTGCCTATTACTATAATTGGTTCCAGAAATCAAAAAGGTCATACATGAACTTGATAGCCAACTAGAGATGTTCCCAGGGACTTTGTGAAGTGCTCTGACAACAATTTAGTTGTCATTCTTCTCTTCTTTTTATGGCAATCCACTTGGGACCTTTGCTAATCTAGAGTAAAGGTTTCTCAAATACATTTCTCTAAGAGTTACAAGAAAAAGTTATTGTGTACTGAACAAATGAAGATGAATATATATATTTGTGTTTGACCAAGATCAGCTTTGCCCCTCTTTCACTGAAAGTATACATTCCCCAGTTGCACCTTCACTTACAAACACCCAAAGCAAAAATGGGTTGGAGACCAAAAAAATAAGAAGCTTCCCAGAATAGATTTGAGATTTTTATAAATAAAGAAGAATCCCAAATTAACTCCTGAGCAGGGAAAACAAAGGTGAGGGGTGTGGTTTACTCCTTTTGCATCATAATTCTTTGACACTGTGGTTCTTAGCTTTCTAAATAAGCGATGTCCATAGCCACCAACAGCTGTCCATTCCTAGCCTAGAATATTATTCCTACAGCACTGCAGATATTTTTTGTAGTTAGATGGCAGGCAATTGGACTATGATTTATTTATTTAGGCTTCTACATTACTCCAATCAGTCAGATTCTGGGTGGCTTTCAATTCCTACATACAGAAATTCAGGTTAAGGCAACAAAAATACATACGTTGTAAGCCGCCCAGAGTCCCCCATTGTGGGGAGATGGGGGGGACAAGTCTATTAAATAATAATAAATAATAATAATAATAATAATAAACCACTAATAACAATTCACAAAATGATACAAATCTGAAATCCTAGTTCTCCTCACTGAATATCCAGGCACCACTTCCCTTGATACAATTCCATTCCACCCCTAAAAGATCTGCAGAAGACCCAAGCCCCCAGTACTTTTTGGGATACTAA